ATGGGGGAAGGGTTGGGGATCGCCCTGCCTAAAGTGAAGCCACTTGAGGTTGTTCTTGAACCTAGGCTTACGAAGGAGATGTATGAGAGTCTCTAGATAAAAAATAATTTGAATTGTATTGTGTATTTGTGTATCATCATCTATATATAATTTGGTGAGAAATAAGATGGTTTTGAAAAATGAGATGAAGTTGGATGCTGTTATATTATATCAGTTGGAACATATATAGAGCTGATGTGGGAAAATTGTACTGATTGAAAGATGTGAGTTGTGAAAAAAAACAGCGTTGAAATATAAAGTAATACTTGTTTTACGAGAATATGCTTAATTTTACAATCTTCGGTTTTAATTGTATCCTTCCACTATTAATATTATAATTTTTAAATGTTAGAAATATGTTTGTCTAGAAAGAATTATTTGTAATAACAGTAATAAGATGCATGTAAGAGTAACATGTCTTTTTTAGTTGTGCAGATAAATATATCACATACAATGGCCTATTTTCAGTTTTTGATTCTTCAATAATTATATAGAAAAAGTCCCTCTCAACTGAGATTTTCCCATTTTCTCTCCTCGACCAAAAAGCCCTCTTTCAAGTCTCTTCCCTGACGTCACGCATCCGTTTCCTTACTGTCGCCGCGGATCCGCCTCCTCCGCGGGATGACCGGCTTTGGGATGGAGCTCGTCAACGCGGCCATGGTGTCAACCCTTCCAGCTTTGGTGCTCCCACTCCAGGCGAATTCGTCGAGCAACTCAGGTTGTCGGTTCGGGTGCTCGGTTGAGGCTTTCGGTGAAGGTCGTCGCTCTCGTCGTGGTCGGAGCTAGTGTCAACGAGGGCGTCTGCACCGGGACTACCCGATTTATGAAGTTTGGGCGATTCCCCTATGATATGTTGTCTTTTATTTTGTTTTGTTTGTGTTGGGGTTGTGTTGGGGGAGAAGTCGGATGCTGGGTCCTGGGGTTGTTGTCAGGTGGTGATCCGTTTGAAAGGAGGATTAGGCCTTGTTGAGTTCAAGAGTTTGGAGTTGCTAGATTTGGGTCGGGTGTAATTATGCTTCTTGGGTTATTTTCAGTTGCCCCTTCCACAGGATGTTAGGATTTTGTGGTTGGTAGTAAGGAGAGCTTTATTGTATTGAATAAGTGTTTTTTTTAGTGTTTCTTTTTTATTGGTTGTCTTCATTCAGCTACGTCTGAGTTTAGTCTGTACTTTAAAAGTTTAAAGTTGTAGTCTCATTTTGGAGTTGTTGTGTCTTTGTTTTTGTCTTGGTTTTTGTGTAATTCCAGTGGGGTGGATCCAATCTTTGTGTCGGTTCTTGTGGTGTTAGTGACACCTCGAACATACTCATTTTGATTTATTTTAAAAAAAAAATTAATATATTTATCTGTCTCAAAAAAAAATAAAAATTATGCAATTATACCATTCCACTATGATTAACATGAGTAACAAAATAATATCTACATTTTTTTTTTTTTTTTTGGTACAATAAAGAGAGGCCAAGGCCTAAAAGCTAGATATTAAAACATTTCGTGGGTATGCGACCCCGAGGATATCATGATGTATCAGTTGTCGAGCTTTCCCCGGTGGCTCGTCCAATAGCTGGAAGCCTGTGGGGCCACGTGTGGCCACTCTGGCAAGACAGTCGGCTAAAAAATAATATCTACATTCCAATATAGAGTACTCTCTACATTATATTAAAAAAATATACTTTTAAATATATGATACAACTCTAACTCCTAACTTCGAACTGAACAAAATTGCAAGATTTGGCTTGATTTGAGGTTTCGCCTTGATTGTGCTCACCCCTAATGCTACATCCTTGTATAAAGTCATTCTAATAAACAAATGTTGTCTAGTTAGATTTTTATAACCAATTTGATATATTCAATTTATTTATCATATCATTTTCAGAAGAGAAAAAATGTAGATGAAGGAAGGGAAAAGAAAATTTTGGGATTATCCGGGCCGATCCGGAGTCCATCTAGTATATGTAAAAGGTTGTAAAAGGCTTCTACCTTCGATTTTTTTTTGGGCCTTAATTTCATACCTCTATTTAACCCAGCCGACCTACCTGATTCTAAAAATGTAGTTTTTATAATTAAGTACACCCGAGTCCTTAGCTCTATGCAAAACTCGAGCTTCTGATATTCAAGTTCGAACTCAAATGAATTGAATCAGGTTCTACTTGTTAAGTTAACGAACCAAATTCAACGAATAAAAAATTATACTTTTTTAAATTAAACATTAATTATATTAATAACTGAAATTCAAAAGAGTACATCCGAAATGTCAACGGACAAACTTGAAACAGAACGCAATCTGGACCATTCCCTTGAAAAACCACATATTACCAAGAGGATATAAACTCTCTAAGGGAGACACAATCATCCGCAAAGCTTAATTCCAAAACGAAGACATAAATTTCGTAAAAGAGATTGGAGTCAGACGTTGATGGATGACAAAACGTAGTTAAAAAAAAAAACACCTAATAAACACACATACCTTCCTCTCATAAACCTTGCAAGCAAATTGCGTTGCAACTCGGATCGGCATATAAGCAACCTTATAGTACAGAATTCCAACAAAGCTACAAGCTGAGACTCCAGACTCAAAAACTGCGACAAAACTTTAATTGTCTAGATACTGATTTGCTATTAAACAACAATTAGCTCTATAGTGAAACCAACCTTCTATAAACAATAAACAAACCATATAATATTAATAAAATTATTAGTATTTATTTAAATAATTAAGTAGTATTATATAGTTTACTTGTTGTATATAGAAAATTGACAGCCAACTGTAGCGAAATTGTTTCTCAGTTGCCTAGACAAATCTAGCGATGAAACGATTCTATTACTTCAAAACTTCTATTTATTCTCAGCTCAATAACTATAAATGTAAATAAGTCGTGTCTTTTGTAATTTTTTAACAACTCCAAAGTTGCATCCAGATCAGAATATGCAACCGTAAGAAACCTGGTTCGTTAGAAAAGCCTTTATATTTTATAAAGAAAATCGTTTCGAAAAAATTTCCCTGTTTTTTTTTGTTGATATACCGCCGATCCTCAAACTCCGACGACGGAAATCTTCCGTTTCTTGATAGCCGGAGCCTCGAGAACCGGCGGTACCAGAGTCCGGTTCATTTCACATTTTCGCATCGGCGTGAATTTGATTTGGAACTCCGGTGTCCGATCGAGCGAACTTCATTTCGGATTTGGATTTTCGTGGAACGAGAAAAAAGGGGAAAAGAAGATCTGTTGTTGAATACGGAGCAGTGACAGTGAAGAAATGGATGACAGAGGCGGCGGCGGAGGAGGATCTTTTGTGGCGGTGAGGCGAATATCGCAGGGGCTTGATCGTGGAAGCTCTTGCCACTCGACCTCCGGCGGTATATTGCCCTTTTCATTTGCACCTTTTCTTTTTCTCTTATTTGTTAGTGATGTTTTTTGTTTCTCTCTCTATCCGTCTCTATTTATTTTTTTGTCGTGTTGTGTTACACTAGTTATCGTCTACCTTACTCTACCTATGAGCGTGTGTTTTTCATTTTTGCGTATGAATGTCGACTTCTTTTAGGCGAATGTTCTTGGAAATTCTTGATCCGTGAAATTGAGCGCTTACGTCTATCGATGATGCCTACCTGCGTTGGGATTTTTGGTTGTTTCTAGTTTGGTTTTATATTAGATTTGTTATTGCAGAATTTATCTGCCTTGTATTTTTAAATTCCATTTTGTTCTTTAATCTGTTAGATCAATGAATTTGATCTTCATATCTTGATAGTTACTCCCTTACCTCCTGCTGAATCTTGATCTATATGTCAAAATATAGTCAAATATAATAAGAAAAATCACAAAATGAGAAACAGAAGCTGCAATTTTCTGATGGGTTGTGGGGCTGAGATTTGGGGAACTCGTTTTCGGTGTTTGAAATGGGGGATGGCTTGGTTAGGTAGTTTGTGGTGGGGAGGGGAGCCGAAGGTGGGGAAGCTGGTGGTAGCAAAGCTGACTAAGGTGGTTGTAGGTTTAGATGGTTGGCTGAGGAAGGATAAAAACCAAACGAAAAAAAAGGGTTGCAGGACATAATTCTATTCAGAATTAGGAGAGTGTTAGACCTCACATTGTTACAAAAACAGCTATCCTCTTATTGGTATTATCTATTTATGCAAATGGGCTGTTTGGACCTCAGAGTAGTAATAGTAAGTGTGCTTGTCATTGAGCTCATGATGATTTTGTTCCTGATCTGTCTATACATACTCATTACTTAGCATAGATATGCCAACTTTAAAGAATATGAAGCATTGTTCGTTATTTATTTAGTTGTATTTTCTTCTTTATTCCTTTTGGCCACTCATTTTCTTTGTCACAGCGGAGGTTGTGGCTGGATCGGCTGCATGGCTTGGCAGAGGCCTTTCATGTGTTTGTGCCCAAAGAAGGGATAGTGATGCTCGCCCATCATTTGATCTGACACTTGCACAGGTTATATAATGTGTGGTTACTTATTTGAAATTTTAATTTCTATAGCCTTTTAATGCGATCCTTATCTGGGGCACTGCCTATAGGCTATAGCGCATTCAAGACTCAATGTTGCACGGCACTTCTGAGCCCCATCTGAATCACTGCTTCACTTTCAATGGTTTTGTTGATTAATGTATGATCTTTGTGGGCTTATATTTAATGATCAGTATTAGGATATGATACATCTCAGAATTAGCTTAAATGTGTTAAGTACCTTTTGTGTTTGTGTATTGTATTTCTAAGTCTCGGTAACACAGCATTAATAGACATCTAAACTTGGCTTTTCCCTATTGACATGGAGTTGTGAGCATAGATGCAGTCAGTTCCAAGTAATCGTAGCTTTTCATAGCAAGTTAAATAGAAGTGAAACCTTGAAATTTCCACTTCACCACTATTTCTACGGATGAGTCGATGTTGTGTTTATACCTCCTTAAATGGCACTGCTATTCAATTTACGGGCCATTGGGATGTAAGAACCAAATTGTGTGGCATTTTCTGTAAGCACACTATACATAATCATTGGGTAACAAATGAGTTTTTTCTGACACCACTGGGAATAGATTTTACTATTCCACTGAGACGATTTGTGTGCATAGGCACACTTCATTACACATGGTATTACAAAATACATTCCTGGTAGTTGACGTTAAAATTTATTCTCTGTATACATTGTGAAAGACAAAGTACTTCGTTTGTGTAGTTTCAGTGTGTCAGTTACATCAGTTATTTGTACATTGCTCATATCATGCATACTTACCTGATATTTATAATCACTTTACTTGACAGGAAGAATGCCTAGAGAAGCTACAAAATCGATTAGATGTAGCCTATGATAGTTCTATTCCTGAGCATCAGGTATAGTTCATGAAACCTCTATGCATATGTATGTATATGCTTTGGAAAACTTTTTTACAAGTCTCTACTCTAAATCTGGTTATCCTTCTCATCAATTTCTTCTTGTACAACAGGAAGCTCTACGGTCCTTATGGCATGCTGCCTTTCCTGGGGAGGAACTACATGGTCTAATATCAGAGCAGTGGAAGGAAATGGGTTGGCAAGGAAAAGATCCGTCTACAGATTTTCGGTATCATTATTAACCCTGAACTTTCTTGTAATCTTTTGTCCAACTTTTTTCTCTGACCTGTAATTAACAGATACTTTATCCTTTCAGGGGTGGTGGTTTCATATCACTAGAAAATTTGCTGTACTTTGCTAGGAACTTCCCGGTATGATTGCTCTTTCTCCCCTCCACAAATGAATATTACTAAAACATTACATTCATGCTTATTCAGATGTTTATAAATTTCCTAATTTTTGTTCTTCTCTGTAAAGTATATATGACGAAATGTTAACCTTTCAAAACTTGTCAAATGTTTTTTTCTGTAGAAATCATTTCAGGTTCTTCTAAGGAAGCAGGAAGGTACTAGGGCGTTGTGGGAATATCCGTTCGCAGTGGGTGGTGTCAACATTACATTCATGCTTATTCAGATGCTTGATCTTGAAGCAGGTGATCTCTTTAATCTCTTTTCAGATGATAAACTTAGTAAGCTTGTTTGTTCTTGTCGGTTGTTTCCTTCTTGTTTCGTAGAACTAATATTTTTTATTTAGCTAAACTCTCCAACGTACAATTAGATCCAATAAAGCTTCTGTTTTATTCTGAAATGTCATGTGATGTTTAAATTCTGTATTTTATTTGGTATGAAAAATATAACTACAAGAACATAATTTTTGAACTTTGATAAATGGGAATATTCATAGTTATGTCACTATTGATTGAGCTATATATGAAATAATTGAGATTGTGAGAGCAGCAATAGTTCTTTTTTGTCAAGAATATAAAACTACCAAGCCTGTAGTGCCTCATGATCTGTTGGTGAAAATTTGATACAAGTGCTTGCTGTTCTTGTTCATGTATGATTGTATTCTCTTGCCACTAAATACTGCAGTGAAGCCCCGGACGTTTGTGGGAGCAACATTCCTCAAATTTCTTGAAGGTAAAACATATTTCATGAGCTATATAAATGATTTGTCAACTAATGGACAAGACTGTCTATCTTGGGTTCAGTTTGTCTGGCAATTGTGTCATGCGTATTGCTGACAGTTCCCATCCTTTTCCACGTGACAGAAAATGAAATGGCATTTGATCTTCTGTATTGCATAGCGTTCAAGCTCATGGATCATCTGTGGCTGGTCATGCATGCTTCTTACATGGATTTCAATGTAAGTCTTCACAAACTAATGTTTTGATTGACACGGGGTAAATCAGTACATGGCGTTTTTTCATGCGCTTAAAATCTTATTAGCCGATATGAGTAGGGGTCTTTAAATTCAATTGGAACTCTAAGAGATATTGATGTTGGGTTGGGAAGAGTTCATATTTTCTGAATGAGTGATAATATAGTGTGATTTTGCTAGCTGAGCGCCTGTGCCTTTACTTTTTTGCTTTACATTTTTCACATTTTCTTTTTCCGTTTGTTCCTCGTCTTTTTTATTGATAATTACGATAAGTTTTGATTTGATGTTAAACCAAGAAAGAGAAAAATATCACATGTCAATAATGTGACGGGTGTTTTAGAAATTTCTTTTCCGAAAATATTACTTAATTTCACCTTATAATAACTTTTTCTTTCCTTTTTTTATCTTTTCTTTTGGTTTTGGTTTCGGTTTCACTCAGGCTGTGATGAAAGCCACTCGACGTCAGCTGGAGAACGAGCTTCTCCAAGAAGGCGTCATGTGCCTCGAGGACTTGCCTTCCTACACCCTTCTAACTCACTAGTGCTTAATGGTGGTATAAATTTTTTTGCAATGTTCTCAAGGAATGAATTTTGGTTCGATTGCCTGCCGGATTTGTTGTCTAACTGGAATATGTTGCGGCTAACTCTCTTTTGCCGTGTTCTCGTAATATTCTAATTTTCTTGTGATTCCCCATATGTGGGGTTAAGGTTTTGTGATGTTTACCAGATTTTCTGTCTGTGAGAAAGCTAAAGCAAGTACTTAATGCAGAGGTTTTGAGTTTCATATATACTCTTTTGACTGGGAGGATTTACTAATGGGTGCTGGAATAAAAAATGAACTGCAAATATAAAACTTGGCCCTTACTTTTGATATATCAATGACATAGTTTTGAGTTTTAATTTGGTATTTGTGAAATTCAAATTCTAATAAGAATAAATTTTTTATTTTCAAAATTATATGAACCCGATTTCGGTTATGCACATTTGATTCAAAATTATCAAACACTACATTCAAAATTATTGAATATTCCATTCTTTGATAATAATTGTATAAAATTAAATATATCATAAAGAATGTAAAATAAAGATCACATAATATATACACATGTTCATATAATATATATATATTGACTACAAAAATATTTAAATTTATAAGTATATCAATATATTTCTATATTTAATATATTTGTGTTCATAAATAATTTCTAAAAACAAAATTTGAATCAGATTGATTATCTGTAATAAATCACATATTTTATAGTAATTAGTAAACCAAATACAAATACTCAGAATATTTTTCACACAAATGAAAATTGAATATTACATATTAATTTGATTCATTTATAATCCTATTTCCAATCCTAATAAAAACAGCCAGCATTGTTGTTTAGGGAAATTCGAAAGAATCTTAAAAAAGAAAATAAATAAATAAATAAATAAATAAATAAATCCATTTCAACTGGAATTAGTAATATGGATATTTCTCACAGGTGTACTCTGATATTGAAAGATTACTACAAATAATAGTCATCATTAGGAATTTGCATCACCCATAGATGTGAAACTTGAGTACCATAGCCATAGGACCACACATGACAGTATGACTCAATATATCACAAGATATAAAACACATTGTCAGCCATAACTAAAGGCAAATGAACTCCAAATCCAAAGTTCACAAAACTCAAATGACGACAGCCCATAACCTGCTGCGGCCGCTGCTGAAAATATCTTTATAAACGATACATATAAAATGACAGCCGATTTTCACTCACGAGGTTCATTCGTAAATCCAAGAGTGAAGGCTGCTCCTCCATTCCGCAATTCCTTCCGGAAACCAAAGAGCAATCTCCTTTCTTGCACTCTCGACAGCATCACTACCGTGAATCACGTTCCTGTCAAAAAGAAAAGTGCATATATATTTATATTTATATACATGTATCGAAGTCTTGCTTCAAAGTTCAATGAACAAGTCAAAAACCTATTTTTGGACCAAAGCAGGGTTTTCACCCAAAGGATAAAGAAGAACTAATTTTCTTTGTACAGACAGATAAATGAACATACTTCAAAGTAGAAAAATCACCTGCCGATATCAATGGCATAGTCACCACGGATTGTACCCGGATCAGACTGAGCAGGGTTAGTGGCTCCGATTATTTTTCTACCGGTAGCCACCACATTCTTGCCCTCCCAAACCATGGCAACAACCGGGCCCGAGATAATATATTCGACAAGCCCATTGAAGAAGGGCTTTGCTGACAGATCAGCATAGTGACTCTCGGCAAAAGCTCGGTCCACGGTGAGTAGTTTGAGACCTGAAATCAAGGTGTACAATACATACATGCATTATTGTATTTTATTATATCCTTTATTCCAATTTAAAATTTAAATAAAACACATAGGGCAAAACCCTTGTAAAACCTCAACAAGTTCTCAATGCAAATTCTAGTTTCTAACTCTCATTCGTGGGAAATGCATGTTTATATGCTTATATGAGATTATGACCCTAAGTCATAAACTATCTTATCGAATCATTTTAATGTACGACAAGATAATGAAGCTAAAATAAAATCTTCTACTTGTGTATCATTAAAACTTAAACATATCTTGATAATTGAAACTTAAAAGTGAGTCCATACAATCCAGACAAACACACAGGCCAATGTAACATAAATCAGAGGAGAAGTGAAGAACAATAGACAATAATAATGTAAACCATCAGAATCATTGTAAAGGATAAACGGTAAGAATCAATAAACAGATAAAATCAAATCAAATAAAAAGAAAAAGTGTGGGGGAATCCACCTTTCAAGGTGAAACCTTTCTTCTCAAATCTACCTATGATCTCACCAACCTGCACAAAGCAATTAACACAAACAAATTATTCTAGGGCAACAAATCAAACAACTCTACAGTAACCAAATAAAACTCAGAATAAAAAAAAAAAAATAGAAAATCAGATCCTCAATTCTTCTTCGTAGATCACATTGTCTCACAGATAAACCAAACGAAATAGCTAATAATTGAGCAAAAATCCAAATTGAGTGACCATCAAAATTGATATGAAAACTCATAACAAGAACAGACGTGAACGATTGAGTAATGAAAAATTAAAATAAAGGCACTTACAAGGCCTCTTTGAACGCCATCGGGCTTGATCATAATGAAGGTCTGCTCCATTGTTACTCGAGGCGGCTAAAGGTAAAATTAACTGGTTTGAAGTGTTGAAGACAAACGAAGCTATCAGCTATGGCCTGTGAGAGGAAAAAAATAAATTAAAAGAGGCGGCACTCTATATAAATGAGCGAGTGTCCGGCACGCCCTAAAACCCTAATGAGAAATACCAATTTTGAATTTCTCCGACATAATAAAAGATGGTAATGGGCTCACAGAAATTAAAAAGGCCCATATATGTTTCATGAAGGCCCAACAGTTAAAATATTGTTATGAAGACTATAATTGTCGAACATATTTGAATATATCTATCTAGTGCAGAACGTGCATCATGTAGGCCCAAAACTAGATTGATATCTTCGTTCTCATTCTCTAACTTATTTAAACCCAACGCTCACCTACCCACGGTGGACACATGTTAATATGACCACCACTTATGTGGCATGCATACAATGGTAATGTATGTTTTTAACATATTAACATCACCAATGTGTGCATGCCACATAAGCGGTGGGCATATTAACATGTGCCCGTGAGTAAGTGAACATTATCCCTTATTTAACATTTGATAAATCTAGTTGAAAAAATTAATTAATAGTCAATAAGTAATTTTCGAACTTATACACGATAATTTCAAACTTATCAATAACAAAAAAGATAGCTAATACAATATATATTTTGGTAACATTAGTTTATAAGTTAGTTGAAATAAAAGTTTTAACTGAATTTAATAAAATTTTCCAGAGAAGCATACGAGATAATTCCCTCTTAAAAAAAAACACTATTATACCAATTAATTTTTATTTTTTTTTTAAAATAAAAGAAGGTTATAAGCTTACTAATAAAAGAATTTGATAGTTATATAAACTTTAATATGATAAAATACCCACACTAACTTATCACTTATGGTGATATAGAATAGTTGAAATTGTATAGCAAACGAAATGATATAAGCATATATAGATCTTGATAGAGTTGAAATTGTATTCAAATTTTATTTTTCTTCATCGGCTACCACAAATCAAAATCATGATACGCTAATAAAAGACAAACTACACTGTCGGTGATAACTGGATTCAATTATACATCAGGCACATAACGTGCATATACGCCGAACATTAATATCTCAATATATTCCATAAATTCATTAATATATATTTAGAGTATGGTAAACTCTTTTGTTTTTATTCGTGAATATAACAACACATATATATAATACGAACAAAGATGACTCATATCGTGTTAGAGGTTGTCAGACGAGGGCGAAACGAGGGCGAAATGAGTGCAGTCCCATACAAGGTGAAGCGTACCATAGTGAATCGAACAAAAACTATAAACGAATCGAACGTTCGCGAACAAAAGCTCGTTCGAGCTCGTTCGTGTTCGACGAAATCTCGTTCGTTTGTTAATCGAACCGAGTTCGAACAGAAAATTAGGCTCGTTTAATAATCGAACGAACACGATCTCGTTCGTGAACGTTCGATTATGTTCGTGAACATTAATTAATATTATTTTATTTTATTTTTTATATATTTACATGATGTTTTTGTTAAATATATCTAAAATTTAATAAAATTATATTTATTTTCTATATATTTAATAGATTTTAATTTAAAATATAATATATAAAATTATTTTTAATTTATTCTTTTATTTTCGAGTTCGAACAAACAAATTTCGAGTTAATCGAACATATTTAAAAAGTTTATGTATTAAATTATTAGAACACGAATGAACTCGAACTTTGACGAACAATTAACCGAACGAACTCGAACACGACTTTTTGCTCGAAAAATAAACGAACGAACATGAACACTGTCGAACGTAAACGAACACAAGCTCTAACAGGTTAAGCTCGGTTCGGTTCAGTTTGTTTACAACACTACTTCCATCCCAATAAACTAGACTCATTTTTTGTTTAGAATCAATGTGGGACAAAGACAACTCACAAGTGATATCCACCTGAGGTACTGTTAAAGTGAATACAAATTCTAACCTGATTCATAATTCTTAATATTTTTTTCACATACTCAAATTGGCAAAAGCTTATCAACTAATACCTATTAATGATAAAATAGACAATTAACATAAATAATATGATTTGGGGAGCTTATCTAAGAAATACATATAATATAATAGACAATTAGATATGTTAATTTCATTTGGTCCTTTGTCATAGTACTAATTGGTTCCATTATGGCTGCATGAAAAGCTAATAATAAAAATTAAAATGCTGTACACGTCGGTGGATAAACAATTCCTTACTACAAATTAATGACAAACAACTTTTAATTGTGTGTTTTGTAGTTACATGATTAGTGCAGTGCATAGTGTTGTATATTCCACCAACACGTACATGTTTTGTGGTCATTAGAGGAGATGATTAAGATCCAATTATAAGCATGTTTTGTCTTCTACAAGAGTTAACATATGTGGTTCTTACTATAATTAATCTTTAATTAGTTGTTAATTTCTCAAGTTAAATATCATTATATATTAATATAAATAAAGTAATGATTAAGTTATCTATTAACTTTAGTTAAAAACAATGAAATTATATGGATTTAAATATTAATTTACCCATCAATTTGATCAGATTGATGATTCTTTAACAAACTTCATCTAAACTCACGTTAAAATAATGTGATTAAAAATTACCATGATCGTGACCCGTCAGAGGAAAAATATTCAGAAGGGACTAAATTATTATTCAATCATAGCTATTTCAAGAATATAGTTTGGTTTGGTTTTATTGAAAGTTTGAGGCAGGACTTACTTAAACGAGACGAGTTTGAAAATTATATAGATCAAGTTTATTATATAGGGAAATACTACTGTCCTATTACGGAACTATTCAATTGGGGTTTGTAATCGTTAGATCATCATGTAGCCATCAGGGATAGTTAATCTAACGGTTACAAACCCCGACAGAATGACTCCGTTACGGGACTGTAGCATCTCCCTATAATAGTGTTCCCAATTCCTTTATTGGTGCAACCTTTATTATAGAACAAAATTTACACAAACTATTTTACAGTTTCTTGCCTCAAATTATTAGACACTCCGCATCTTTTTTGAACAAAAATATATACACTTAATTTAAATAGTTGTGCTATATAACTGATACACAGATTAAGGAAATATGCTATAAAAAAAAAACTTGTAGAATGGCTTGTTATAGAAAAAGCAGACATTATTGAGAATCACATGTACCAGTTGGAAAGAAAGCAAAAGCTGTAAGTGCCCATAAAAGTTCTATGAAAGGACCCTTTGAATTTATTACAAAAATCACCTTCTTACCACTGTTGCCAGTTAGTACAAATTAAATTTGAGGGCTGAAAAATGTGGATTGTTTTTCAAATTATTTGAAATATCAAACGTAAATTGTCGTGTTTCGACTTTCGACCGAACCATTAGACAGATCGACTTAAAAAATGGATTCTTACACTCTGAAATATCCTACTTTTGTTTATGTTTGTCTCTTAGAGTATAACATTTTTATTTAAAATTACACATATAGCTACTCAAAAAAATATGATTAATTAAGTTACAGATTTAAAAGACAATATAGGAAACAAGGCAAAAGTAATTTAAAAGGAAAGGAAACAAAACAAAACAAAACAAAAATCAAATTTGCTAGTTTAATACAATTTATTCAAAATATAAAAGGCAAAAAAAAAATAAAATTACTTGCATATAAATAAATACCTACACATATAATGTCCATTTCCATCACTGAAAAATTAAATTTGAA